TATGTAGTCATCTGTCAAACTCAATTTTCAATTTCCGCTATAACAATGCTTTCAATTAAAGGTAATAAGGTAAAGAAATGTAAATTGTTTTGAAGTGAAACAAAAAGGCGGCACACAATCGTCGAGCTCTAATTCCAAATTCCAATTAAATGAAAAAGCGACAGTATGTAGATGGAATGGGATGGGCACGATTAAGACTGAGATTAAGTTTATGTTTAAGATTAAAATTAAGATACAAAAATTCAGATTAAGATCAAGATTAAGGTTGCGATTAGGATTAAAATTAAGGTTAAGATTACGAATCAACGAAGATTTAGATAGAGATTGAAGTGTAAATTTATATTGAGTGAGTTTAAGATTAAGATCAAGATTAAGACTAAGATTAGGATTAATTCAAGATTAAGATTCAGATCGTGATTAAAATTTAGATTGAGATTAAGGTTAAGATTAAGTTTAATATTAAAATTAAGGTGAAGATTAAGATTGAGGTTAAGATTAAGATTAAGATTAAGATAGGGATTAAGATTAAGATTAGTATTAGGACTAATTTTAAGATTAAGATTCAACGAAGACTCAGATGAAGAATTTAGATTGGGATTAAAATTGAGGTTAAGGTTAATATTAAATTTAACATTGAGGTTAAGGTTAATGTATTAAGATTGAGATTAATATTAATATTAATAATATGATTAAGATTAAGATTTAGATTAAGATTAAGACTAAAATTCCGATTAAAGTTAAGAATAAGAAGATTCAGATTGAGATTAAGAATAGAACATTGTTCATTATTATGCAGAAAAATACTCGGGTAATAGGAGGAAGAAGTTCACTTAAGTCGCGCGTGGGATCCACACACAACCATTTTTTTTTTTTGCGCACGGAAAATATTTATAATCTAAGGAAAGGAATTACAGTATTTGAATACTCCGACGAGATCCATAAGAGGCTGAGTTGGATCTCTCCTATAAGCAAAACTCTTAGAAAGGACACATTTTTTTTTTATCGAAAATGGGGTCAGATCTCAAAGTTCATGAAGTGGATTTACCAAATGGTCACCCGTCCGATTATTATTACGAAAACCTCTTAATCAACCTTTAAATGAATTCCATAGATTGGCTGACGCTCTCGTTGAGAAAGCCTAAGGCCAGTATGCAGCTCTCAAGGAAACGGAATTTTGACATCTGATACGTTACTGTGGTTGCCTGTTGCCTCACTCTCTCCTCAAGAAATAATGGAAAGAGCATATATTCATTTCTGTTGCAAACATGAGTTGCCTTGTGTTCTTTTTTCACAAAAAAAAACTTTAGAAACCCGTAGTTGAAAGCGTAGCAAATTTCTTTAGAACTGCGTACTGCCTTATGGAAATTTTACACATGAAAATTTCTTAACCATTTCTTATACGTCATTTTATATGGAGTTTTTGCTTTTCCTGAGAGTTGCATACTGGCCTTTAACTTTGACCGGCTATAGCTTCTAAAAGTGAGCTAACTTTTCAAAACATTTTTAGGGCCGTTTGCTCAAAAGCTGGATGACACTAATCTCCGGTTAAAAATCGTTATCGACTTTACCGACACCCTGTTATATGTATGGACTCAAAGATGTCGATAACGATGTTAACCGGGGATTATTGTCAATCAGGCTTTGAGCAAATGGCCCTTGGGCCGGTTGTTTAATGTCTAGTTAACACAAATCGGTGCTAGATGCTCCGGTTAAATACAATGACCGCTTTATCTATCACATGTAATATGCATGATGTCGAAATCGTGGATAATGATGTTTAACTGGGAGGTAGTGATAACCAGACATTGAACAACCGGCTCTTAGGGTTCTGTTACACTAGTCCAGCACTACGCATCTGTATTGGTCTCATCACTGTTAGATGACATGACCCTATAATTGTTGCAAAGTGTAATATTTTATTAATAGCTTGCGAAAAACATTTTTGTTTTTACCAAAACTCAAAAATTCATATCTTACAAAAAACACCTCCGTGAAAATTTTAGGATCTTTTAAAACATGCAGAGGTACCATGCGAAAAAAAGTAGTTAGTAAAAAAAAAAATATATATAATTTTTTTTTTGATTTATTCATATATATATTTTTTTAATACGTATCCTCTTCAAAACGAGTCCAAGATGTTTTTTGTAGAATTTTCTCTTTTATATGCATTGAGTTTTTGAAGTGAAACTTCTTTAGCGGCGGTTGGTTGGTTGGGAGTAAATTGGCAAGTTCAACGGAAATTGCACACGGAAATGGTTGGGTCTGAAAAAATTGCTTCATGGGTGTATGCACATGGTATAAATTTAACAAAAACTTGCTAATAAAAGGTTAAAAAATAACACTTAGAAAAAGCCCAATACAAGAATGAAAGTAAAGGTACATAGATAAAGAAAAGGATATAGGCAATGGTAAAAATAAAAACAAAAACTAAAATGAAGATCAAGGTAAATTTAAACACTTTACTTATATAAGGGCAAAGGTGAAGGCGGATATATAGATTAAGAAAATGATAAACAAAATAGTAAAAAAAAATTAATATAAAAAAGATGAGGTACCGATAAAAGCAAAGATGAAGATAGAGGAAGAAAGATTAAAATAAAAGTAATTATAGAGAAAAGGATATAGATAGAGACACAGAGACTCACTGTGGGAACTATTTCGGAATTCTCGGGACTTATCGATATAATAATCGATACTTTTATCGGTTCTGTTACCGATACTTTTAACGATTTTTTATCGACATTTTTATCGATATTGCTATTGACTTTGCTGAAAATATTTTCGGAACTCATCGATATATTAATCGATATTTTTATAGATTTTGTTATCGATATTTTTTATCGATTTTGTAATCGATATTTTTTATCGATATTGTTATCGGATTTATTTTGGATATTTTTATGGAATTTCTTATCGATATTGTTGTCGATATTTTATCGATAGTTTTATCGATTTTGTTATGGATGTTTTTATCGATATCTTGATGGATGTTACTATCGACTTTGTTATTGTATTGTTATTTGTATATTAATGAAGATAAAGGAAAACACAATAACGTAAATGTAATTAGAACGAACAGGGTAGAAGTAGGGATCTAGATAGCAAAAAGAGAAAAAATATAACCTTAAGCAAAAACAGATGTATGTATTTTATTACATATATATATTGATTATGAGACAAACTAGATATGTAACGTAAGTTTCACTTCTCCATTGTGGCCCAGGCGCACTTACTTTTTTTTTTAAATAATTTTTTGAATTAATTATATCTTTAAAATTTCAAAGTCCTTTTGAGCAAAACGCTGACGTCAGAAAGAAAAATTAAAAATGAGGTTTAATATTTTTGGCCCCCCGTTTCGGGAATATATAAAGTTTTTTGTGTGTAAAATTGATTGTCGCACAGTGATATCTGTGAGGTACATTTTTGTATGCAATTTATTTTCTTTTTTTTTATCGTTTATGTGAATAATATTTAATTTGGTGCTGTACATATGTACATATGTATTTGCTTGATCAAATATTTCATCTTATTTGTTTGAAAGAACATAAGTCTAGTACTTTGAAGTAGCCTTGTCGGTACCGATCTTTACTTGATAATCTCGCTCCTGACTTAGCACAATCAGTTAGGTGGTCTATGCTGGGAGGAATTTTCTTGATATTAACTAAGCTCAGACGGATATTCGAAATGCAATTTGTCAGCATCCTGCATAGCTATTTGAAAAATTATTTCGAATACTGTAGCAGAACGGAGTCCTCGGATTATTGTATCAAAATCTCGCTGCCTGTTTCGCATCCTTGGGCCTTGGAACGGTTGTGACGTTCCTACTTTGTGCAATGCAGCAGAGGGGCGCCGGGGTAGAAATTTCCAAACACTTCTGTGACATCACTAAAGGTTTTATTTACCTAAGTAATTTGCAAGTTCTACTGTCAATATTATAATTTTTTCTAACAAATTATCCAACAATAACAAACTGTTAGTCTCGTTAGCTATTTATTGCGTATTTATTTATTTTTGTGCTTATTTTTTGCTGCCTTTTCACTACTCCGACGTCAAACCAAATACATACATATGAAACGAGTAGCATAACGGAAAGTTGACAACTCAATTTCAACGTTTAAAGGAGAAATTTGATCTGATTGTGAGTACCTAGATAAAAGAAAAAACTGTGTAGATATGACAACAATTTCATTGATCATTGGCGCACATTGGTGCGTGCGATTTGCGAGCGAGTTGAGTGCATATATGCGTGCGTTTGCGCACTTGTGAATTGATATCTATTGTGCTACAATTTAAGGCGACAAATTGACACTCGTTGACGAAATAAAATTTAAATTGAAAAAGAAAAAAAAAACCAAAAAACAATTTGCTCAAACACTTGTAATTGATTAGTGGTGTGGAAAACTAGCTTAAAACTAGATGAACACATACATATGTATATATGTATACATATGTACATATATGTATGTATGTATGTTTTTATAAATTTAAATTTTGTGCAGTCAAGAGCAAACGGTAGAGCATTGAGCGCATGGAGAGCTCCAACTTACAAAACTAACTCTGACTTAATGCGCGCTTAACGGCGCGACAGCTTGATTGGTGGCTTGTACTAAGTTCGAGTACGAGTGACGAGTGGCGAGTGTGTGTGGTAGAAACTTACTAACTAACACTTTTGCTTGCCCATACACTCAGCTGGTTTTTTTTTTTTTTTGGTTACGCCAACAACCTAGCACTTACTAGCCAACCAGCCAACTAAGTAGTTACTACCGCTTTAGTAGAGTTCTAAGCTATTTGCTTTGTTTTTTTTTATTTTTTGCATGCCTTTTGTTTTAGTCTCATTGAGTGCATACGTCAATATGTATGCGCAAGTGTCAATACATAGGTAGGTATGTGTGTTAGTGTGGGTGGTTTTTAGGGCTTTTCCGCCTCAACTCCATATGCCACTCGAAATGAATGAATAAAAGAGCTGCGGTTTCTCGGCCTGTGAAACAGTCGTCGTTCGAACGCGGCTGCTGACGGTTGAACGGTTTTTGGTGGTGTAGGCCGAACTTTATAATTTTTTAAAATCTTTTATTTTTATTTGCGTTGTGATGGTGTTATAAAGTTTATAAATACCGAATATGTACATTTAAAACAAGTTAGTATCTTAAGCGTATAAAACGCGAAAAAAATCATACATACATACATGACGTTTGTATATGTACTTAAATAATGTACAAATTTATTTAGTTGGAAATTCGCACACAAACATTCGTACATACATGCATACATACAAGTGTGGTTTTAACGTGATCTTATGATGAAGCAAGAGTCTTTCTTACCAGCGACATCAGCGACAGCAGCAGCAAGCCAGACGCTTGTCGTTAAATGAGTTAAACAAATATTTGGCGGGCGCATGCGTTTATGAGTGACTGATAAGTTTTAGCAATAATAAAAACAAACAAAAAATAAACAACAACAATAACAAGTACACGCGCGATTAGATATAAAATAACAATAAATCCAATGCCGTTTTCATCAAAATTTTATTTTATTTTTTTGGGTTGTTTCAAAATATGTAATTAGTATTTAACTACAACAACAACATAAAAAATAATTGCGCGCTAATATGTATTAAATTGAAAGCAACAACAACGAAGCACTCAGCAATCAAGTTTAAAGTCGATAAATGTCAAATCTAATCGACACTCCATCGCATTTAAAATACAAGCATTATTTGAGGAAAAAAATTTAGACACATAAAACTTACAACAAAAACTATTGCACATAAAAACACTTAAAGGTATATTGCTTGTCAATTCGACCGACAAGTACGACAATACACAGTGCACAGTGGTTCAAAACTGGCATTTAGTGTTCAAAATTCACTGGAGCCTTCATTTTTGAACCAATTTGAGTATTTTTTTTTTATGAAAACTCATATAACTAGTAAGAGACCAGTTGAGCCCGAAATGATCTATAAAACTGCATAGCCAAAATTTTTCTAAAAATTCAAATTTTTTTTATTTTAGTGAACATTTTTTTATAACATTCAAATTTTTCTTCTATAGAGTACTGCGTTTTTAGTTTTTCTCTTTGACGTGGTGATTTTTTAAAGGAGTTCGGAATTTGCAGAATATGATTATTTCAAAAAATCATTTAAAAAACTCAGTGCAATGTAGAAAAACAGTATGGGCATAAAATTAAAGAGAAAACTCTATAGAACTAAGGCAGAATAAATTTTTTGGTACTTAAGGATAAGTAAGTATTGAAAATGTAGATGTTAAGGACTAATATACACACGACAACATTCTGAAATTTCGTCCTTCTAAATTTATAAGCTTAAAAAAAATGAAATTAATTAAAACGGCATTATCAATACCCATTTCTCCTCGTTAACCAAAAAATTTTATTTTCCACAGAATTTTCCTTTAAATTTGATACCCATATTGGTATTCTACGTTGCATTGCATTTTTTAAATAATTTTTTGAAGTAATCATATCTTTGAAATTACAAAGTCCTTTTAAAAAAACCTGACGTAAGAGAAAAAATCTACAAACCCAATTTTACTATAGTTTCGTAAGTACATATATTTATTGCTTCGTGTGTTTCAAAATTTTTTTTTTTGTTTTTGTCGCAAAGTGTAATCGATATAACAAAAAGGGATAAGACATGTCAGAATACCAATCTTTGTACTGTTTGATATACATGAAAATGATAAAAGACTGTGTAAAAATGGGGAAATTGTACAAAAATTTTGAGCTAAAATAGCTAACTCGCTAAAAAAAAAATTAGCTAAAAAAAAATTCGTTAATAGCTAAATGCAAATTTCTATAGCTAAACGTCGAAAATACATAATAGCAAAATCTAGCAACAAAATAACTAAACTGGCAACACTGGTTCTCAACTATTTATGAAAGAACTAGAAAAAAAATATGATAACCCGTTATGGAAACGTTCTACAAAACCGGGCATTAAAGATGAAAACAAATCCTACAAAAACCAATATTGCAAATACCACTGTTGAGTCGGAGAAATGCCCGTGCGGGTTTTACGTAAACATCATAAAACCGACATCCGCTGCCCTACGAATGCTATTAGTGCGATTTTTCTCGCCAAAAAGCCTAAAATCGTGTTAATAGCAAGGACCGAAAATAACCGTTAAATATCAAGATTTTTATTTTTTGACCATTGCAAAATCATAATTTTTTTTGTCTAATTAATTGTCATTTCGGATTTTTATTTTTTCCGAACAGAAAAAAATCGTTCTTTCGGATTTTTTTTTTTATTAATAATAATCGTTTTTTTGCATTTTTATTTTTCTATTATTTTGAAACGTTGCACGGATACTGCATTTTTATGGTTTAAAAAATTATAGCTGAAAAGAATGGTTGTAATATCATAGCAAAATAAGAATTAAAAATAGCGATCAAAAATTCATCGAAAAAAGTCCAAACATAACTACTAAATTTTATTGGAAAAATATAAATCAATTTTTGACGGTTCAATTATGATTTTGATTAAGAAGATCATAAACTTTACGGTCCCTGGACAATGGCCATATCAAGAAACAAACCAACCTGTTAGTTGGCTGCCACTCTTTTTAGTGAGCTATTTATTGTTCTTGTTTATACTTTATTCCACTCACAAGTTGAAGATTTTTATTGGTGTTGGCGCGTTTATAAAATTGTTGTTGTACTAATCCACATTAGGGCGGGTCAATTTGTATAGGAATTTTTTCGACTAAGCGCGTATAGCACAGACGGATACTACGTGTAAATCTAAGCAAATTTGCCGGAGAAACCATGGGTTTAAAAACAATTTGGAGTTTGCCAAACTGCTACAAGTAGTAAATTAATTTGGGGGTGTTAAAAAGTGCTTAGTTGTTTTATTGTTTCTGCGGCACAAACGATTATACTATCTATCCTCTTTATCACAGCGTACGACAGTGCTGAAATGATTCGCTTATCGAAACGATTAAAAAATCTGATCGAGAAGTAGTAAATATTTCCATTTGTTTATACAAATTTTTCGTAAAAAATAAAAATTTTGTACAAAATAATAATTATTTGAAAAATTTAAACAATCAGGTGTCTAATTAACTATTATCATGAAAAAAATAAGCAAGATACATGCTATGAATGAGTGGATAATAAATAATTATTGAATTCATAAAAAAAAAGTTAATAAAAATAACTCTTGTAAAACGTCGAATTTTGCAAAATTGCTCAAATTATATATATTTTTTTGTATGGTTTTAAGCCGAATAAAGTGATTTGTGCCAAAAAATCTTGACCATTCAATTTTGGGTGGGCCACTTGAGAGATTTTCACTCAATTATAAAACTAGTTCATTTTGAGATAGTACACAACTTTTACTGCAGGCAATATACCTACTTGAGATAGCATGAAATATTTATGTACTAAAGTAAGTATTTATGGTCTCACATTCTTGTCATTATGTATTTACACATATGTTCATATGGATATACTATATATGTATGTACATATATATTTTTATATGGCTGTAGTTAGTAGATTTATCCCACTATCTCGCCATTTAATTGCACACGCCCAGCACTGACTTAAGTAGTCATTCTCTTGTCGAACAACATACAGAAATACGAGGGCCTAATTACGTATGTACATACTAAATACAAATGCATATACTTTAAGTAAATATACATTGATATGTATGTCATACTCCACGTTCATGGTAAATTTGTTGATTTTTGCGATGACTTTAAAAACACCACTTCACTGCAAGCAGGCCGAGACTGGTTGGTGTTGTAGGCACCAATTGGCAGTGCAACGGCACAGTATGTAGCAGATCGTCAACGCGACTAGGAACACTCGAGTAGGGAGCAAACGATCGGCGGCAATCAGCAGCAGCCGTAAATAAAAAGGCAATAGTATATGTTTTTTTTTTGATTGATACTCGGCAGTTTAGTTCTATGGCGTACATAGCCTGCAGTGCCTTGCCTTGCCTTGCCACATTGTGCCGCCGCGGAGTTCCAGTATAGTGTGGAGAGTTAGCTATATAATAGGCAAGTCAGCTGTTGTTTGTTTTTTTTGCAGCATTTGTGTTCGAGTTATTGAACTTAAGTGCTTGTTGGATGGATGATTTATCTAGCTATGCACATTAGGGCGCAACACTCTGCGAACTAAAACAAATCGACAATGTTTTTCCATCGTAACTATACCAATTATTATATTTTAAGACTTCCGCCCAAATATTTCGAAACAATTTTAATATTTACCTGAGCTGGATTTATTTGCAAATACCTTAAAAAAATAGTTTTTAAAAATGTTTTTTCTAAAAAGCCAGAGCTTAAGCTCAAAAGGTCTGCATAAAAATGTTTAAAATTTAAATCTTAATATGTTTCCGAAATATTTTAGCGGAAGTCGTAAAATATAAAATTTAATTTTTTTTTGGTGATGCACCCTAATGTACATATGTACATGCACAAGTATGTACGCAGGTTTGTTCGTTGGTTGGTTGATGAGTTTGCTTAGTAAGTCAATCGGTTAAAGAACGTTGAAGTGCAATGCCAGGATGCACAACTTTATACCTACATACATATATAGTTATTTAAAAACTTACGTATGCATGTGACTAAAAGCATACATAAAATTATAATTTTACAACAACAACTCATATTTGCACTTTTAATCATTTTTAAGTGCCTCTATGTGTGTTATTTGTGTATGAGCAGATATGTATGCGCACGCCTGCGCATGAATGAAACTCATGAACCATTTCTACCGATCGCCAACGCTTCTTTGAGTTTATAGCAACGCTTCGCGCTTCTTGAGACAAACAAACACACGCACTATAATCGCATACTCTTGCAATAAATCGCATACATTTTATTATACTTGCGCAAATATGGCAATAAGATGGCCAGAACGCGCTAGTCATTAAAAGTACAGAACCAACAATAACATTAGCAACAAGCATACAGAGCTCCAATAGCAACAATAAAAAAGCGGACACTAAACGACAACATTGCAAACGCACAGCGAAAAAGATTAAAAATCAAATGAAAGGAAAAAAATTTTAAAAAAGTAATTTAAAAAAGCTCCAGCACAAGCAACAACAACAACATAGTGCGCGCACATCACACAAAGCAATAGCATGAACAGCGACTATAATTACAGTGACTCAATTAAACGCACACATGGTGATTTTTGATTTTAATATTCGTTATCTTTTTCAAGTTGAAGTGTTTCATTAATTTTTTTATAAAAATATTGGTCATATTATAACCAACACTTTAAAACTTAATGTAAAAGTTAGAAAAAATTCCAAAAATTTTCATTATCTGCCTTATCCTTAGTTTCGCCTGAAAAAAAAATTCACCCGAATAATTGTCATCCGCCCATAGTAAAACCATGCAAACTAAGAGTGAAAAGTGAACCGGTTCGGGGAAAATGAAACTCATGTTAAGGGTGAATAACTTCGATTTTTTTTTTAAATAAATTTTTAGAAAACTTTCTGGTTGCAGTTTTGTAGTCCACAAAATTTTTGTATGAGCAAGTTTCAAGCATGCCCTTATTATGAAAATTTTTGGGATTTTTTTCTAAATTTTGGATAAAGTTTTAAAGTGGAAGTGATATGGAAAAAAGTGCATACTTGAAGCTTTTTAACCGACTTCCAAAAAAGGAGGAGGTTATCAGTTCGTTGGAATATTTTTTTTTGTATGTCTGTTACCGCATAACTTTGGACCACGTCAACCGATTTCGATCCGATCATGAAATATATATATATATATATTTATTTTTGCTAAAAATTAGTTGTTTCTATTAAAATTTCCTGGACTACCGAACTGCTAAAATTTCGCGCTGATTTTCAATAATTTTTATTTAGTTTGCTGTCGGTTTTTTGAGGCGTTTATGTTTTATTTTGTAGGCGGTATTTTGCAGTTTCTTCTTTAAGATATCCATATTTATATTGAAAAAAAAATGCAAAGGATCTTCAGGAAAAAAAATTAAAAATTGAGACATGCATTTTATTGTACTAAAATTGAATGGACTTTAAAACTGCGTACCCCAAAATTTTCTAAAAATTCACTTAAAAAAAGTGCGAAAGTTCATTGATGAAAAATTGTTAAATTTTTAAAAACTTTGAAACTTTGATTTATACATATGGTTCTGATGGTAAAAATAATTTAGATTTTGTAGTTTTTTTTTTTAAATAGCTTTAAAGTAACACTTTCTTAAACTTTTTTCATTTGGCATCCACATTGTTGTATTTCGTTTAACCCATTAATTAAGTTTAATTTGTTTTTTATTTATTATTTTATGTTATTATTCTGAGCACAATATACTACTTAAAATTAACGACCAATAGAAACAACAGAAGCTTATTGATTAAATTTGATTTGACTTATAAACAGGTGGCAACCCCCTTTAAAAATATTTCGGAAACGAAGCTTTCTTACACCTCTATAAATTTACACACATACATGATTCAAGATTTCATTCAACGTACTGAATAAATTTTGGCCTTTAAAAAGATGGCAATCCTCTTCAAACATATTTTCGAAAAAAATCTCTCTTAAACCTACGCACTTCGTTTGCATATTTTAATACTTTATTCAAATTGTTAAAAAATACATATTGACTTTTGAACGGGTAGCAACCCTCTTTAAAATATTGAAAAAAAAACTTTCCTAACTTCAACTAGTTTATTAAAAGAACTTAATTTAACTTTTTAAACAGGTGGCAACCTTGCTAAAAAATATTTTCAACATAAACTTTTTTTAAATCTTATTCGTTTTGCAACCACATTTTTAAATTTCGTAGGATTAGTTGGATTTACAAAGCAATTTCAACTTGAAAACCATTGTGAATATATCAAAAAAAAAAACGTTCACCATGTGAATGCTTGTTTGAGTCACTGTATGTATTGATACAAAGCAATAAAACGCCGCGCAAATAAGGCAATGCAAGAAAAAGGTGAAAAAATTACTAAAACAAAACAAAAATACAGCAGAAGTCCAAAAAAAGTAGGAAACATTGCAAAAAAGTAAAAAAAAAAAATCAAAAATTATAATGACCAAGCCACGCTTATCGGTCCCGTATATAAGCGTAAGGCCGCGCAAAATCGTCTCTCATTTGTAAATTAGCAATCCATCGATCGTGTGGCGATTTTTTCGTGTTGACTTCTTGATTTCTTGCGGTTTTTCGTGTAACTTAATAGTACAACTACTAGCTCGCTCTGTGTTTGTGTACGCTTCTATTGCTGGCAATTGAAATTGGAATTTGAGATAATACTCATACTATAAATATCTACGCTTTCTTCTTGTTGTTCATTGTATTTGAGGAGAAGCATATAAGCAGCCATCACTTGCTTTTAAGCACCCTGTATTTTTGTGTATCCGCAGCTAAAAGCACGCTCGCTCGCTCCGACAATCGTCGACTTTTTCGAAAATTACAAAGCATACAAATATTTAAACGCGAAAACAGAAAAAAAAACCAACGATAATTCAGTTCCGGCTAAGGTCCTGTCACAGTCACTTAAAAATCAAGAAAATTTACTATCAGACATTAATCAGCCAGCCACTTCACTTCCGCAGTTTTACACCTCGCTCAATTAATTTGCGTCAACGATCGTTTCTCCAATCCACCTACCAGTACCCGTGATTTTTTACGCCCATCGCGTCGCCTGCCCGCCCACTCAACATCCAACGCTTTTTTGTTTGTGTTAGCTCCTGCTGCTGCTGCTGCTCTGTTGTAAACGCTACGCTCCTTAAATCACTTTGTGTGTGTGCCTAACCATCCACTGATCACCCTACCTACTCGTCCGTCGTGTACGTCCTCGCTCTGTTACCTCGCTTGCTTCATTTTGCTTACGCTTGTATTGTGTGTGCGAAATTATCCTGCTCAGGATAATTTGCTATTTTTTTTTGCTGCGCCAAAGAAATCTCTACTAATCAACGTCATCTGCTACAGTTTGTTATTTAGTTTCGTTTCGGAACCAGAGCTTTAAATCAACACACCTGCAATACACATTTGACGCACCCGCCTAACCGCAGCAGCAGCCCGGCTTGTGTAGCCCAAGGCAGGCAGTAAAAAAGAAGGCGCAGTTTTTTGCTGTTGCAGCAGTTTTTTGTATTCAGCAAGCTGGAGAAGACGAGGTATACACCTGTTCATACATCACATCGAAAAAAAATGACGCAACAACCGGAATGGGGAATAAAATTTTCGAGGTGTAAGTATATAATTGATTGTAATTTTTTTTTTATTTTTAACCGTAATTATATAAAAATTATATTTAAATATTGAGAAAGCTTAAGTAATGTTTTAAGGGTGTTTCAAAGTGCCGAGGTACTAAAATATCATCGAAATGTTTTAAACAGCTTACGTTTGTATGCGAGTAGTGTTTTTTACAAGTAAGTGTGACCTGTGTGTAATCTAATTTTGCAATCAATAATAGAGTTCACTCTTTGATGCGAAAATGCGAAAGGCAAAAATGAGCGCTTTGTTTTGCACAAAAGCTTAAACAGTGTTGTTGCTTTGGCTGCGCGATTTCAAACAGTTCAGCCACAGCGTGGTCGTCTCAAATATTCGTAGCACAGCACAGCACAGTTTTCGCTCTTTGCATTTCATTCACGATTCCAGCTGTGCGTTTGTGCGAAATTAAAAAGTGCGAAATGTTGCCATATGTTTGCTGTAAAAAAATTTCGAATATTTCACATTTTCGCACTTTCGCTCAAACGCACAAAGTTTTGCCTTAAAGAGTGAACTCTAGCCAACCAGCTTCCCGATGAGCTGAGGCTAGAAACTTTAAACTGAGCTCAGAAGCCGATGACAATGCAATATAAAAGATGAATTAATCCGTTAGGTGGCGCAGGTGTCGAGATATTTTAAAAGCTGCACATAAAGAAAGAAATTAGCAATCGAAAAGTCTGCCCTAACAAATACCCAGTAAACCTTTGAGTTGAGGCAGCTGGAAAAAAGTCATGGTGACAGTTGATAAAAAAAAAACCGTTGGGCTTAGAGAGGGAAAAGTAAAATCATAAATACGATATTTCAGATCATTTACTCACCCCCATCCGCCACACTCCCCCCTCTCCTCGAATGATACATTTCTAAAAAAAAGTGCTGGAATCGGCGCGATATCGACTAATCACTTTAGTTGCCTTTGGCGCTGACCCCATTGAAACAATTATTTCTTTTTCAACTGTAATCAATTTTTGAAGTGTTGTGGAATATTCATGTGAAGGTATTTATCATTGATTTGGTATTTTCCTATTTTTCTTATCAAAAAACTGACTTTGAAATGTACATATTAAAGATTACTAGTAAAAAAATAGTGAGTACCCCTTCGTCCGGTCTTGAAATTAGACGCATATTTTAGAGAATTTTATGGAATTTTCGAATATATATTTGGATATGTAATTTTCGAATTTCTTAATTTTCGATTTTCAGCATCTTTTTGCGTAATTTCGCGAAACGAATTTTTCGAACAATTGAAAAATCACACCAAACATTGGGAGAAAGGAGAATATTTACACCTATGTAATTTTTTAGTAAAACCTTTGTTTTGTTTTCACATTTACTGACTGGGCCCACATTTTTTGCGAGTTTTAGACGTTATAGTGATCCAATCTTCCCCATATTTTATATTTAGGGTTTTCTAATTAAAGAGAGAGTACAAACTAAATTTCATCGATATCGGATGAAATTTAATATTATCGCCCACAAGAGTGGAAGGCGTGGAAATTATCCCATATTTTCCAAATTTCATAATTTTCTATATTCCTAAGGATGTCAAGTTTCAGTAAAATCGGCGCAGGCCTACTATTATTTCCATATAGTCGTCAGGATTAGCCAGTATTGGCCATTAAAAAATTTTGAAGTTTGAATCAACCAGTTCTACTTAAATAGGCCATCTGAAATTGGGCCTTGGACTTACGCCAGTGGGTGGTATCCGCAGCTACAGAAAGATCTATTTGTCTTACTAAGTATGTGCCTTCCTAATGTACTGAAGCTAATATTTTCATTGTCGGGACATTCATAAAGAAAATTCTGGATACTTTATTACCTAAATCTAGTTGACAGTTGCACAAAGTTCTATTAGAAGGAAGTCCTATTCTTGTCGCATGCTTGCTACTATTCTGAATACTTCTGTCCTTGATCTGATCGTCCTGTTCTAGTCAGGTTAGAGTTCCATGAATATCTTGCAAGTCTGTATATCTGAACACCTGTTTCTAGTTTATTCAAGGAAATGCAGATTAATTTCTATTTGGATTATTCCAAGATATAAAAAAAAATATATGTGACCTGGTCTACGGAAAGGGGGCTTAGGTGTCAAAAAATCAATTTTCACTTTTTGGTTGATTCGGATGGAAGATGAGATGCTTTTCACTTTTAACAGCTTTTTCACAGAAAACTAGTTTTCGCACGTAAGCTCCCTTTTCGTAGACCAGGTCACATATATATAAAAAATTAATGATAAAAAATAGAAAATTAAATATATCAAAAAATTAAAAAATTAAAAAAAAAAACAAAGTATATTTAAAATTAAATTAAATTGTGTCACAATGTTGCATAATCCAAGCTTTGAATATTTTTTTATGAAGCGAGTATTCTGCTTTTGTGTTTCCTTTCCCTTTAATTAATTAATTATGCGAGCGTCAAACTAAACTTAACGCTAAATACTAAATTACAATATAGGCAGTAAAATATAAATATTTATGAAAACATACATGTATACATATGTATGTAAATATGTAAATATACATGTGTAGGTATGTAAGTATTGAAGCAGATGTGAAGCCAGTGTCGCAAAACCGGCTTTTGAAGTTGCTGTTTATGATTTTTTTTGTTTGCTTTAAAATGCATTCATAAATAAATTAAATGAGAAGTTATTAAAAATAAAATTTTTACCGCTAATAGCATACAAATATATACATGTGAAGCGCATTGTATCGAATTGAATATTTAATTGGTATAGAAAAGAGAAAAAACTGAAAATTAAAAAAATGAAAAGACGTCACCGAAACGTGAAATTTGCAATGCCTGGTGAACTAGAAAATATGTCAGCTACCTAATCTAATAGTTGGTGCATTTTCTTAGGATCATGAAAAAATTAACGGTACTTCTAAATTTTTATATGAGATTTGAAGTCGGTTTTGTTTTTTGCATAAAAATTACTTGTTACCTATCGTATCGTTACTAAATTTTTGTGTTAAGCCCGGATCACACGTTTGCTATATTTGTACAAATTTATACAGCTTTTTATTTTAATCTTTTGATAACACATACAAACATACATATGTATGTGTAAATGCACAGCCGTCTAACTCGGCCTTTACCGTCTGCTCAAAAATCTGGTTTAATCAATTTGGGTTGTTAACCTTGAATATGAAATACATATAATAAATAATTTCTATAATGCAACGTTCTTAGGCTAATTCACGTTTTGATTCTCTAACTTTTGTTATTTCTTTTATTTTACTCGTATATAATTATTTTAATTTTGTGTTATTACTAGTATAAATCTTATTTCCATATGTACGCTTTTACATATGTATGTATATACAAATATATGTACATACATAAAAATGTACCTATATTTTATATAGAATGTTTATTCACTTGTAGTTATGTGCATACAAAATTCTCATTTGTAAAAATGCTTACAAATGAACATTAGTGTGACTCGGTGCCCTGAGCCTAAAGCCTTTCAAGGATGTAGGCTTCAGATCTGTTTACTTCTTCTTCGTATTTGGCAGTATAACCGTTTGTCGGTTTGGGCCAGGACTAAAGAGCTTCTCCAATTGCCTCTATCCTGTGGGAATTGGCGCCAGTTTCTCATCCCGAGTGCAGCAGGTCCTTCTGCACTTGGTCCTTCCATTTTGTTCGTGGGCGCCCTTGCTTTCGTTGTCCACCCATGGGTGCGGAGTCGAAGGATTTTTTCACCGAAACATCGTCACCCATGCGTACAACACGTCCAAGCCAGCGCTTAACTATGTCCTTGTCGTTAAAAAGCTCATACAGTTCGTCATACCATCTTTTCCTATACCTGTCGCTCTTGCGAACGGGCCCTTAGATATCTCGAAAGCACCCAATGATTTATCATATTTGACCGGCATCATCTATGCAAAAGTCTCGGGTCTGTTCGTCTAAACCTAAGACAAAGACGATTATGACGGCGATGCCGAAGACGAATACGAGGGCAATCATGAATACGCAAACGAAGACCAAAAGGAAAAGCGAGACGAATACAAAAACGCAAGCGATTACGAAAAAGAAAAAGAGGACGGTTAAGAAGCTGAAGACGAGGTTAAATACATACTACGAATAAGACGACGAAGACATACACTGGTGGCAGAAATATTACACTCGCCTTATTTTGACCAGTTTTGTCTATATTTCTTCGGTTTATTTAATGTTTAATAAGTTCTGATAGTTATGCAACAAACATCCCATAAATCCTAATTTCAAACTTGGTGTAGAAATTATAAAAATTCAACAAATTTTCATCAAAATGAAAACTTTTTTACTAAAAATTTTTTAGTATGCAGTTTTATGGCCGCTTTCATTTTGTATAATTAAGTGCTGCAAAATACCGTTGATTTTTTAATTTTTTTTTTTCCAAAACTTGTTGAATTTTTATAATTTGGAAGAAGCTCGGCCAAACACAATTATCATTATTATAGCCCAATTCCGTGTCGGTGGCAAAAATTTTTTTACTGAAAAATTTAAAATTTTTCATATATTTTTTCGTAATAAAAACTGTGACAAGAATTTGTTACTGATACGGAATAGAGCCGGTAAACATTAAATAAGCCAAAGATATACAGCTATAACTGGATAAAAAAGGCGAGTAAATTATTTCTTCCACCAGTATATGAGAAAGCGAATACGAACACGAATACGAAGTTGAATACGAAGGTAAACACGACAACGATAAGTGTATTACATATTCAATTACGTTTAACATTACCTTCACCATTACCATTACCTCTACCATTACCTTTACCTCTACCATTACCATTACCATTACCATAACCATTTCCATTACCATTAATTTCCAAGCAATAAATAGAACCCTAAAAGTAACGATTCAACTCGATTTTTTTTAAATATGTAAAAAATAAAAACTAAAAATCATTGCCGCTGAAGGTGGTCCGAGTAACAAGGAGTTGGATTCTTCCCTATGCACAGTATTATTTTATGAGTTGTATTATAAAAAAGCAGTCA